GCTAAAAGCAGTATAGGACAGGTCCCACACGAGACACCACGCCACCTGCCGGCAGAGACGGAGTTCATCCGGATGGAAACGACAGTCCCAAACTGGCCAAAATACCGTCGAAGCAAAGCTTCCGTGAATTCAACCGTGAATTCAAACGGCACACCATGCAGGGCCACATACGTCACCGAGCAGCACTGGTCAGAGATGGTGACGGTACCACCGTCCCCAAGGAGAGGAGGAGAGCGCCCATCGTAACGGGCCACGTAGTCTCTATAGACAGCAGCGGAGTTAAACTTAACAAGTGCCCGATGGGTGGACAGCAATTGGAGCCCATACACATCGGCAACACACACACACACACGCAGCATATCCAACAGGACAATCTCAAGGGCTAGGTAAGACGCACGTCCAGAAAATTCCAGACCCACGGTCTCAGAGCGGCGAATAGGGGGGAGGGGGGTCCCCATGGCGCCGACCCAACAACACCCTCCCACACGGAACGCCTAGCAACGACTGGGGCGCGCTTGGCGACCACGTCTAGACCCCCTGGCGGTCAGGCCAGCAATCTTTTTGAGACATTAGCCTATGACTGGCCAACAGTTTGATAGTGGAATTTTGTTCTCATTAAGAGAACAATAAAAACTAATAAAATAAACAATTTACATTAAACAATAGAACAATACAATTTTAAGAGAACCTAAAATCCATTAAGAAAATTTCAAATAACTAGATAATACACGTAGAAACTGTAAAGGTAAAATAGTTGAACAAATGTAAGGAAACACTCTGCCCAGTATGGGTGATCAACAAGTGAAATACACTTTAACAAATAAGTTGTGTGAAGACACCTAAAAAAAGAAGTTTGAGGTCAGATTCGACAAAGAATTCAATAGTCAGAATAGGTAAATTATAAAGCTAGAGATACCGCAAGCCTAGTAGGCGGGAATAAAGTCTTCACATCCCTGTGATAACTGATAGGTAAGTACTGATTGTGTTGTAGAAATACCTAGGCAAACTACCATAGATGAGTAGGAAGACAAACAGCTCTTGGAAGTCAACGCCAACTACTGTAAGATAATGATGGATACAAGGGTCAGTATATGAAAAAGATATTAATTAAGATTAATTTAATTTTTCTCTCTTTCTGAAATTAATTTCAGAAAGAGAGAGACTTCAGAGGAAATGTAATCCCAGCACTAACAACGTATGTTATGTATCATTTGCAGCACATGAAAAGCAAGGAAACTGGGTTTTAAAATCTTAAACAAGAACTTTTTTTAACAGTTTATTCAGCCAAAATCTGACCAGAAAATATCTTCAACTCCAGTAAAAAATCCATGTCTCGTAAAATTCAGACAAATATTGAAAGCGGGAGGATAAACGAAACTTTTCAAGATTCTTTCTTGAGAATCATATATATATACTTATATCGTGCATATGCAAATATATCGAATTCGAAATGGTCCACGACAGACTGAAATGTTGTCACTTCTGTATTTTCAGATATGTGGGTTGAGTATAATATTTTCACCCACTTTAGTTGTACTTTCTCTCTGTAAATTTAAAATTGGTAAAATTTAAAATTTGTCACTTCCTTTGCAAAATATAAACAATTACAAATAATATTTTAAAGTCACTTCTCTGATATCATAAGACAGCTGAAATAATTCTTTATTTAATAAATAAATAAGTTTATTTATTTTTTATCATTCTTACTGAACATTTACAAACAAATTTTGACATAAAACTTTGAAAAAAATTATTATAACAAATAATTTATCTACAAGAATATATATTATCGCCGTTGTGTAGAACCTTTCAACTTGCACTGTGTAAAAACACTGAACTCAAATAAAAGTACAAAGGCACTTAGATTTCAGGATAAAGTTTTTCTGATTTTTTTGCTGCTAAAAAGCGATGCCGGCGAGGTCAACATTACATGTCTTAATTAAAGTAGCTTAGAATATACATTCAATTTTGTTATTAATAAATCAAGATATTTTATTAATAAATCAAGATAAGTTTACGTAACAGTTGGAGCTGTTTTTCAAAAAAAGCATGTTTTTATCTGTCACAGGTGTGGCATCAAGATAGTAGGTTTATAAAAACACGCGCCAATTCGAATGCAACGTTGTGTCAAAATTTCAAAGCAATCGGTAAAAGTTTTCCCTCACATGAAAAACACACGAAAAAACAGTTTAAAAAAAACTAGTTTTTCCCTTCACAGACGTGACATCAATAAAGTATGTATATAAAAACACGCTCTAATACGAATGGAACGTGAAAATTGCAAAGCAATTGGTGAAGAACTTTCGGAGATTAGCGATTTTGAACAAACGAGCATTTACATTTTTATTTATATAGATATATACCACTCAATGATGCACATGTAATATAAGAATACGAAACATTCTTCATAGCCCATACGGAGGATCCTCGTCCATTCGTTCATAACCAGGCACATACCTTCTTTATCTCTCTCCAGCTTTTCCTTCTCTGCCCTCACAATATTTATCCGAACACACTCTTAACTATTTAATTTTACATTAGTCGCATACGGGCCTGGAACATGATATTTTACGTCTTTAAAAACGTTCGTTACTTATAACTTCTGCACTGGATTCATTCTTCTTACTTTTATTTCAGCCTAATAAACCCGTCTTTCCTTTCTGTGAGCTGAGCAGGCAAAGCTTGCAGATCCAAGGCTATTTGTAATTATTTTGTGATGTAGCGGTATGTATATCACATGGTGGTTCACGGTGAGTTCTCTGCGTCCCTAATCCAAACATTCTGATAGTGTTAGAATGTTCTCATTAATTATCTAAATATTTCTCACTAAATTCAATAAACAGACAAATTTCCATTTTCATCCTGGTATTTGTAACTATTCCCTGTAAATATAGCATAAATAAAAACATTTCAAAGAAGTAATGCTATAATTGTGAGTTTAGAGTATAATACTCACTCTTCTAAATTAATTTTAAACTATTTATTTAACAGAATGTAGAATGAACGTATTATCACCGTGACATCATTCAATTTGAAAAGCTCATGTTCTTACAAAATAGAATTTGAACAGCTGGTCCTCTGCCTTGATTTGGTTATGTTTTCTCATTCTAATTATGTAACTAAGTAAGCTGCTTTAATTGTTTAACAACAAACACTGTTTATGGGTATCACCCTCGTTACCCGGGGCCCCCGTGACCCACCCTCGTTACCCGGGGCCCCCGTGACCCACCCTCGTTACCCGGGGCCCCCTGACCCACCCTCGTTACCCGGGGCCCCCGTGACCCACCCTCGTTACCCGGGGCCCCCGTGACACACCTTCGTTACCCGGGGCCCCCGTGACCCACCCTCGTTACCCGGGGCCCCCGTGACCCACCCTCGTTACCCGGGGCCCCCGTGACCCACCCTCGTTACCCGGGGCCCCCGTGACCCACCCTCGTTACCCGGGGCCCCCGTGACCCACCCTCGTTACCCGGGGCCCCCGTGACACACCCTCGTTACCCGGGCCCCCGTGACCCACCCTCGTTACCCGGGGCCCCCGTGACCCACCCTCGTTACCCGGGGCCCCCGTGACACACCTTCGTTACTCGGGGCCCCCGTGACCCACCCTCGTTACCCGGGGCCCCCGTGACCCACCCTCGTTACCCGGAGCCTCCGTGACCCACCCTCGTTACCCGGGCCCCCGTGACCCACCCTCGTTACCCGGGGCCCCCGTGACCAACCCTCGTTACCCGGGGCCCCCGTGACCCACCCTCGTTACCCGGGGCCCCGTGACACACCCTCGTTACCCGTGACCCACCCTCGTTACCCGGGGCCCCCGTGACACACCTTCGTTACTCGGGGCCCCCGTGACCCACCCTCGTTACCCGGGGCCCCCCCGTGACCCACACTCGTTACCCGGGGCACTCGTTACCCGGGGCCCTCGTTACCCGGGGCCCCCGTGACCCACCCTCGTTACCCAGGGCCGCGCGTGGCCCACCCTCGTTACCCGGGGCCCCCGTGACCCACCCTCGTTACCCGGGGCCTCCCGTGACCCACCCTCGTTACCCTGGGCCCCCGTGACCCACCCTCGTTACCCGGGGCCCCCGTGACCCACCCTCGTTACCCTGGGCCCCCGTGACCCACCCTCGTTAAACGGGGCCCCCGTGACACACCCTCGTTACCCGGGGCCCCCGTGACCCACCCTCGTTACCCTGGGCCCTCGTGACACACCCTCGTTACCCGGGGCCCCTCGTTACCCGGGGTCCCCGTGACCCACCCTCGTTACCCGGGGCCCCGTGACACACCCTCGTTACCCGTGACCCACCCTCGTTACCCGGGGCCCCCGTGACCCACCCTCGTTACCCGGGGCCCTCGTGACACACCCTCGTTACCCGGGGCCCTCGTTACCCGGGGTCCCCGTGACCCACCCTCGTTATCCGGGGCCCCCGTGACCCACCCTCGTTACCCGGGGCCCCCGTGACACACCCTTGTTACCCGGGGCCCCCGTGACACACCCTTGTTACCCGGGGCCCCCGTGACACACCCTTGTTACCCAGGGACCCCGTGACACACCCTTGTTATCCAGGGACCCCGTGACACACCCTTGTTACCCGGGGCCCCCGTGACACACCCTTGTTACCCGGGGCCCCCGTGACACACCCTTGTTACCCAGGGACCCGTGACCCACCCTTGTTATCCAGAACCTCCACCTCCTGTGCTCCCGTGATTGGACAGAAGGATTTTTAACGTATCCAGAATATTTGAGAGTTTCATTACATATTCCTAGCAAAGGAACGTATCTGGTTTACTTAACAAGCTGGTTCCTCAGCTTCAGTATACTGAACACGTTACATCATTATATACACCAGAAGATGTCCTATATCCCCATTAAGGTCTCACACTCCGTCCCGTACCATATTCCAGCCTCCTGCCACCCCTCACTGAGCTGATGATCTGGGCGACGCTCCTCGTTACCCTGCCAGGCATAACACTTCCCTCAGAACACTTCTCTTTCCCCTCAGACTACCGGAGGGTCTGGAGGACGTGTCCCGCTACCCCTACCTCTTCGCCGAGCTCCTGGCTGACCCCTCCTGGTCCCTGGAAGACCTCAGGAACCTCGCAGGACACAACCTCCTCAGGGTCATGAGGGATGTCGAGAAGGTGAGCCATGTTTTGGTAACGTGTGGTGAGCTGGGTTGTGGTGAGCTGTGTTGTGGTGAGCTGTGTTGTGGTGAGCTGTGTTGTGGTAAGATGTGTTGTGGTGAGATGTGTTGTAGTGAGATGTGTTGTGGTGAGCTGTGTTGTAGTGAGCTGTGTTGTGGTGAGCTGTGTTGTCGTGAGCTGGGTTGTGGTGAGCTGTGTTGTGGTGAGCTGTGTTGTGGTGAGCTGTGTTGTGGTGAGCTGGGTTGTGGTGAGCTGTGATGTAGTGAGCTGTGTTGTAGTGAGATGTGTTGTAGTGAGCTGTGTTGTGGTGAGCTGTGTTGTGGTGAGCTGTGTTGTAGTGAGCTGTGTTGTGGTGAGCTGTGTTGTCGTGAGCTGGGTTGTGGTGAGCTGTGTTGTGGTGAGCTGTGTTGTGGTGAGCTGTGTTGTGGTGAGCTGTGTTGTGGTGAGCTGAGTTGTGGTGAGCTGTGTTGTGGTGATCTGTGTTGTGGTGAGCTGTGTTGTGGTGAGCTGAGTTGTGGTGAGATGTGTTGTGGTGATCTGTGTTGTGATGAGCTGGGTTGTGGTGATCTGTGTTGTGGTGAGCTGGGTTGTGGTGATCTGTGTTGTGGTGATCTGTGTTGTGGTGAGCTGTGTTGTGGTGATCTGTGTTGTGGTGATCTGTGTTGTGGTGAGCTGGGTTGTGGTGAGCTGTGTTGTGGTGAGCTGTGTTGTAGTGAGCTGTGTTGTAGTGAGCTGTGTTGTGGTGAGCTGAGTTGTGGTGAGCTGTGTTGTGGTGAGCTGAGTTGTGGTGAGCTGTGTTGTGGTGATCTGTGTTGTGGTGAGCTGTGTTGTGGTGAGCTGTGTTGTGGTGAGCTGTGTTGTGGTGAGCTGAGTTGTGGTGAGATGTGTTGTGGTGATCTGTGTTGTGATGAGCTGGGTTGTGGTGATCTGTGTTGTGGTGAGCTGGGTTGTGGTGATCTGTGTTGTGATGAGCTGGGTTGTGGTGATCTGTGTTGTGGTGAGCTGGGTTGTGGTGAGCTGTGTTGTGGTGAGCTGTGTTGTAGTGAGCTGTGTTGTAGTGAGCTGTGTTGTGGTGAGCTGAGTTGTGGTGAGCTAGCTGTGTTGTGGTGATCTGTGTTGTGGTGAGCTGTGTTGTGGTGAGCTGTGTTGTGGTGAGCTGTGTTGTGGTGAGCTGAGTTGTGGTGAGATGTGTTGTGGTGATCTGTGTTGTGATGAGCTGGGTTGTGGTGATCTGTGTTGTGGTGAGCTGGGTTGTGGTGATCTGTGTTGTGATGAGCTGGGTTGTGGTGATCTGTGTTGTGGTGAGCTGGGTTGTGGTGAGCTGTGTTGTGGTGAGCTGTGTTGTAGTGAGCTGTGTTGTAGTGAGCTGTGTTGTGGTGAGATGTGTTGTGGTGATCTGTGTTGTGATGAGCTGGGTTGTGGTGAGCTGTGTTGTGGTGAGCTGAGTTGTGGTGAGATGTGTTGTGGTGATCTGTGTTGTGATGAGCTGGGTTGTGGTGATCTGTGTTGTGGTGAGCTGGGTTGTGGTGATCTGTGTTGTGATGAGCTGGGTTGTGGTGATCTGTGTTGTGGTGAGCTGGGTTGTGGTGAGCTGTGTTGTGGTGAGCTGTGTTGTAGTGAGCTGTGTTGTAGTGAGCTGTGTTGTGGTGAGCTGTGTTGTGGTGATCTGTGTTGTGGTGATCTGTGTTGTGGTGAGCTGTGTTGTGGTGATCTGTGTTGTGGTGATCTGTGTTGTGGTGAGCTGGGTTGTGGTGAGCTGTGTTGTGGTGAGCTGTGTTGTAGTGAGCTGTGTTGTAGTGAGCTGTGTTGTGGTGAGCTGAGTTGTGGTGAGCTGTGTTGTGGTGAGCTGGGTTGTGGTGAGCTGTGTTGTTGCGAGCTGTGTTCAGGTGAGCTGTGATGTAGTGAGCTGTGTTGTGGTGAGCTGTGTTGTGATGAGCTGTGTTGTGGTGAGCTGTGTTGTGATGAGCTGTGTTCGATCCCGGGCGCCGGTGAGAGACAATGGGCAGAGTTTCTTTCCCCCTATGCCCTTGTTACCTAGCAGTAAAATAGGTACCTGGGTGTTAGTCAGCTGTCACGGGCTGCTTACTAGGGGTGGAAGCCTGGTCGAGGACCGGGCCGCGGGGACACTGAAAAGAGCCCCGAAATCATCTCAAAATCTCAAGAGGCACCCTTCTCGAGTCCCAATGGGCACATGTATAAGCAAGAAGATGGGGTCGCCATGGGTTCTCCCCTAGGTGTCCTGTTTGAGAACTTCTACATGAGTACCATAGAGCACAGGGTTTTAGTTGACATGGAATTGAAACCCGCCATATACTGCAGGTACGTTGATGACATATTTTTGCAGGTACCTGATGTCAGACGTTTGCAGCTGCTGAAGGAGGCATTCAAACAAAATTAGGTGTTAAGTTTCACTTACGAGATGGAGAGTGATGGGAAGCTGCCACAGTTATGGTGAGGAATGGTGACTTCCACACGACAGTCTACACTAAGGAAACTAACATAGGAATGTGCCTTAATGCCAACAGTGACTGCCCAGACAGGTACAAGAGGAGTGTTGTCAATCCTAAGTTGACTGAGCTCTCACTCACAGCTCTGGTTGGAAGCAGGTCGACAAAGACCTCTGTAGAGTAACGCAGGTTCTAGTCAACAATGGCTTCTCTAACGGTTATGTTGAAGACGTCATCAAAAGAAAAGTGAAACGTCATGCAATCTCAGAAGAGTCAACTAACACAACACAGGTACCTCCTATTAGAATGTTTTACAGGAACTTCTTTTCGACGGCTCACAAAACGAAGGAAAGTGTCCTGAAATATATTATTAATAGGAACGTTATCCCCACAGACACAAATCAGAAGACATATTTAACAATTTGCTACAGAAACAAGAAAACTGCCAACCTACCCCTAAAGAACATTCCAGACACCAAACAGAACGCCATGAAGGAAACCAACATCGTCTATGCCTTCTCGTGCCCACATGGGGACTGTCAGCCCCATAGATCTCAGTATATAGGCAAGACAACAGTGTCTCTTTCTAGGCAATTAACAATGTATAAACAATAGGTCTCCATCAAGGAGCATATAATCTCCACACACAACCAGACCATCACCAGAGTCATCTTACCAAGCAACACAAAAATTATCGACAGATTTAACGATAACAGGAGACTCGACATCAGCGAGGCCCTACACATCAAAAAGTCAAAACCAGCAATCAACAGCCAATTAACTTATTATTACATTCTACCCACTTCAAGACCCCGAACCAGCAGTGAAGCAAGAAAATAGAATATATACCCATGGTTATATACCCATTGTACATATCCAATGTTTCCTGTTTTGTCTTTTCTTTCCTGTCACTTCTCCCAAAAACATTTGTATCCCATCACCTCACACAAAAACGAATATAAGCACGATATTAGTAAGTAAAAAATTGTCTTTGAAAATGAAAGAAGTATTCTTGTGAAATGCTTCCAGGCATCAGATCATAAATAAAAAGTGAAAATGATTTGGAGAGTTAATTTTTCAACTACCCTCGACAGTGAAGGAAAACATAAGAAATATTGAGAAGATTCGTGTTAGAATCATTAATCTTACCCTTTTGGTCATATTCAAAAACATTATATATATATATATATATATATATATATATATATATATATATATATATATATATATATATATATATATATATATATATATATATGCGAACAAGCCTGAATGGTCCCCAGGACAATATGCAACTGAAAACTCACACCCCAGAAGTGACTCGAACCCATACTCCCAAGAGCCACGCAACTGGTATGTACAAGACGCCTTAATCCACTTGACCATCACGACCGGACATAATGAGGTGATAGCCGAGGCTATTTGAACCACCCCACCGCCGGCACTCGGATAGTAATCTTGGGCATAGCATTTTACCAAATCACCTCATTCTTTGGGGCACACGTGAGGAACACAAATGCGAACAAGCCTGAATGGTCCCCAGGACAATATGCAACTGAAAACTCACACCCCAGAAGTGACTCGAACCCATACTCCCAGGAGCCACGCAACTGGTATGTACAAGACGCCTTAATCCACTTGACCATCACGACCGGACATAATGAGGTGATAGCCGAGGCTATTTGAACCACCCCACCGCCGGCACTCGGATAGTAATCTTGGGCATAGCATTTTACCAAATCACCTCATTCTTTGGGGCACACGTGAGGAACACAAATGCGAACAAGCCTGAATGGTCCCCAGGACAATATGCAACTGAAAACTCACACCCCAGAAGTGACTCGAACCCATACTCCCAGGAGCCACACAACTGGTATGTACAAGACGCCTTAATCCACTTGACCATCACGACCGGACATAATGAGGTGATAGCCGAGGCTATTTGAACCACCCCACCGCCGGCACTCGGATAGTAATCTTGGGCATAGCATTTTACCAAATCACCTCATTCTTTGGGGCACACGTGAGGAACACAAATGCGAACAAGCCTGAATGGTCCCCAGGACAATATGCAACTGAAAACTCACACCCCAGAAGTGACTCGAACCCATACTCCCAGGAGCCACGCAACTGGTATGTACAAGACGCCTTAATCCACTTGACCATCACGACCGGACATAATGAGGTGATAGCCGAGGTTATTTGAACCACCCCACCACCGGCACTCGGATAGTAATCTTGGGCATAGCATTTTACCAAATCACCTCATTCTTTGGGGCACACGTGAGGAACACAAATGCGAACAAGCCTGAATGGTCCCCAGGACAATATTATGTCCGGTCGTGATTGTCAAGTGGATTAAGGCGTCTTGTACATACCAGTTGCGTGGCTCCTGGGAGTATGGGTTCGAGTCACTTCTGGGGTGTGAGTTTTCAGTTGCATATTGTCCTGGGGACCATTCAGGCTTGTTCGCATTTGTGTTCCTCACGTGTGCCCCTAAGAATGAGGTGATTTGGTAAAATGCTATGCCCAAGATAACTATCCGAGTGCCGGCGGTGGGGTGGTTCAAATAGCCTCGGCTATCACCTCATTATGTCCGGTCGTGATGGTCAAGTGGATTAAGGCGTCTTGTACATACCAGTTGCGTGGCTCCTGGGAGTATGGGTTCGAGTCACTTCTGGGGTGTGAGTTTTCAGTTATATATATATATATATATATATATATATATATATATATATATATATATATATATATATATATATATATATATATGCAAACAAGCCTGAATGGTCCCCAGGACTATATACAACTGAAAACTCACACCCCAGAAGTGACACGAACCCATACTGCCAGGAGCAACGCAACTGGTATGTACAGGGACGCCTTAATCCGCTTGACCATCACGACCGGACATAAGGAAGTGATAGCCTAAGCTATTTGAACCACTTCCCCGCCAGCACTCGGATAGTAATCTTGGGCATAGCATTTTATCAAATCACCTCATTCTTTGGGGCAACACGTGAGGAACACAAATGCAAACAAGCCTGAATGGTCCCCAGGACTATATACAACTGAAAACTCACACCCCAGAAGTGACTCGAACCCATACTGCCAGGAGCAATGCAACTGGTATGTACAGGGACGCCTTAATCCGCTTGACCATCACGACCGGACATAAGGAAGTGATAGCCTAAGCTATTTGAACCACTTCCCCGCCGGCACTCGGATAGTAATCTTGGGCATAGTATTTTATCATATTACCTCATTCTTTGGGGCACACGTGAGGAACACAAATGCGAACAAG